ACCTTAGGTGTACGTGGCTGGCGCCTTAGCCACTTGAGCTATAGGCGCCGAGCCGACTTCTATTGTTGAAGTTAAAGGTTAGGATAAACAGAGGACTAAAACCTTTCTCTTCTATGTACTCAATTAAATTTCCGAGAAACTGGCTTCATGACTGTTTTCTTATGGCTTTGGAGAAGTGCAGTTATGATGGAGTATTGTACTCGACATCATTACGATGGAGTTTTTCTTTTTACTCACATCAACCTTTGAGTCATGTCTTCTGCTCAGATGGGCTGTTTCAACCCTTATCTGACAGGCTGACTTGACTGCGCAGTCGGGGTTACCTGTAAGAGGTTTTTACACCTGGCTTGCAGGCCCCCACCGTGTTTTCCCAGGTCGCTTAGGGCCTCGACAAAAGCACATAATACTCACAAGTCTTTTCGCTCAGTTCTGGAATTAAAAGAGCACATTTCATTTAATTTTTGTGGGGGTTTACCCCACATACTATTTTTTCCAGTTCTTTAAAATATGACAATGGTGCTTTAATAGGGATTGCATTAAATCTGTAGATTGGTTTGGATAGTATGGACATTTTAAATTGTTGATTCTTCCCAGCCATGAGCAAGGTATGTTTTTCCATTTGTGAACATCTTCAGCTATTTCTTTTCTCAGAGTTTCATAGCTCTCCTTATAGAGATCTTTCACATCCTTTATTAGGTAAATTCCCAGATATTTCATCTTCTTTGGCACTATTATAAAAGGAATAGAGTCCGTGATTGTTTTTTCAGCTTGACTATTGTTGGCATATATAAAAGCTACTGACTTGTAAGTATTGATTTTGTATCCTGAGATGCTGCTGTATTCCTTGATCACTTCTAAGAGATTTTAAGTTGAGTCCCTGGGATTTTCCAGCTATGGGATCATATCATCAGTGAAGAGTGAGAGTTTGATCCCTTCTGACCCTATCTGGATACCCTTGATCTCCTTCTCTTGCCTGATTGCGATGGCTGAGACTTCCATTACTATGTTGAGTAGCAGTGGAGACAATGGGCAGCCTTGCCTCATTTCCTGAGTGGAAATGTTTTCAGTTTTACACCATTCAATATGATATTGGCTGTGGGTTTGCTGTAGATGGCCTCTAATAGTTTAAGAAATGTCCCTTCTATGCCTATTTTCTTAAGAAATCTGATCATGAAAGGATGCTGGATATTATCAAAGGCTTTTCCTACGTCAATTGAGAGAATCATATGGTCTTTTTAAAAATTGTATTGATGTGATGTATTATATTTATAGATTTGCGTATGTTGAACCAACCGTGTAACCCTGGAATAAAACCAACTTGATCATGGTGTATAATTTTTTTTGGTATATTGTTGAATTCTGTTTGCTAAGAACTTACTGTATATTTTTGCATCAATATTCATTAATGATATTGGTCTATAATTTCCTTTCTTTGTTGGATCTTTTCCTGGTTTGGATATCAAAGTGATACTTGCTTCATAGAATGTGTTGGGAAGTATTCCTTCTTTTTCTATGCTTTGGAAAACATTATATAATATAGGAACTAGTTCCTCTTGAAAGGTTTGATAGAATTCGGATGTGAAGCTATCTAGTCCTGGACTTTTCTTTTTAGGGAGATTTCATACTGTTGATGCTATTTCAGTGCTTGATATAGGTCTATTCAAGATTTCTAATTCTTTCTGGTTGAGTCTAGGAAGGTGGCCTGCTTCCAGGTATTGGTCCATTTCCTTCAGATTTTCTTATTTCTGGTAATAGAGATTTTTGTAGTAATCATTGAGGTTCGTTTTTTT